TTTTCTTTTTTTTTTTTCTCTTTTTAGTTTTGACCTTTTGTTTTGGCCTTTCTTCTCGGCTTTCCGTTTTTGTTTTTGTTTCAGTTCCTTTATTTTTTTTTTCCGTTTATGTTCTGTTTTCGCCCGTGCTGAACTTTTTTGCTGGGTTCGCTGCTGACTGTAGCAGATTACCTCTTGGCTCAACGATTTAACTGTTTTATCTTCGTCACTATCAGATGTGTCCTAGTCGATTTTATTTTCACTACACTCTACAACATGGCTCATCATGCTTGATGGTTCATTTATTAAGTCACTTTGGTGGGGAACCGAGTCATTCCAATCGATAGAAGGTTCAATAAATTCATCTGACGATGAGGCATCATTTGGCTGCTGGGAGCCAACATCAGTAGATATATTCGACTCTGATGATGTAGGGGGACCCACTAGATTACAAGAGTCCTCGGCAGGTTCTTGCACAAGGTCTGGAAAGCATGGCTCTTCATTCATATTTTCTTTATCTACAGTCTGTGATGCTATTACTAGTCCTAATGGGGTAAAATGTCTCATTCATATTAGGTTCCTTGTACATCCACTCCAGTGGAAAGGGGGAAGATAAAGTTTCTTGATGACAAAAGATATCATAGGATAGTACACTCCCCAAAGAGTGACCATATATGGAAACCTAGAAGCAGAATTGAAGAACTCTGTTTCATGAGTAGTAATCTTGAATATTCATAAAGAATAAATAAGAGGAAAACTTTCATGCTCTATCAGCTATATACCTCTCCATCATTACCAGGGTTCCTCTTAAGAAACTTTAAATACAATCTCTTAAGTTGATTTAATACCTGAACAAGAAATGAACTCGGTTAGAACTTCACAACACAGATAGTTTACTAACAAGGTTCGTTTTTCCACATATTACTGAGTAAATGCTGTAATGAGAACAAATTAATCAGGTGATAATATTCTGAGATGGTAAAACGGTAAAATTTCGAATGTCAACGTACCATGTCCTATGATAAAATGAATAAAGATGATCACGAATCATGGAAGGCTAAACAGAGACTTGAATAGAAATTTAAGCAGGTTTTGAAAGAGATTAATAGCAATAACGAAGTTAGCATGAAATAATAGAAAGGAAATGAACACTATTTCATGACAAACTAGATTCTGTGGACCTATGTGCAGGGATTTGGCAACACAGGACCCATGCACTTGACCTGGTTCCAGAAGGTAAAGATTTTTTAGCTCGTCTTTCTAGTTAGTCCTTATACTGAAAATATTTAAAAATCTTTATGATGCTTTACAAGCAAATTATAAAGGTTCCTCAACATGGCTGAAGACCAATAATTGACGGTCGCAAACTGAAAATACGAAGTTCGACCCAAACTACACCTTAAGGGGGGGTGAATAGGTGATTACACGGAATTAAAAACTTAATAATTAAATAGCAACAAGTCACTATTAATTATCTGTAGATGGTTAATTCAATTTTATCCTATGTTGAAATACCGCAGTTTTGAAAGTAATAAATGAACACAAAATATGATCAAAGAGAAACTCCCATTGGGTAAAAATTTCGAACACTTTACCAATCAATAATCCACTATAAACGATTTATAACTTACAGTTCGTCAGACTCTACGACGATACGTACTTTCTGACCTCCTGACTGCAATTCTAACAGCTCTCCTGGACTTCGTGCTCCTGTACCAATTCCCAGATGCAATTTCTAAAACTCTCCTAGATTGTGCTCTCCTACAGCAACTCTCAACTTTGTGAAATCGTCTATTTCCTGTGAATTAAAGAAAAACACCGCTTTTTTAATGACTAGAACTCCAGTCACCTTCCTTTAATCTTCAGCACTTTTGACAGATATAAAAGAAGTAGCAGTTAGGTATTTGGAATGTGAGTTTGATGTTTTCACTGTTAATAACAGGATGAAAGTTGAAAGTAAATTTATCAAGATGATGTGACAAGAATATGTTTTCCACAATGTTCAACCTTTTAAAAAAAGTTCTGTGGCGTTTGTTATATATAGGTTAGGTTAAAGAATGAATGGGCCGAACAAAAAACTTTTAAAAAAAGAATTAAAAAATTCCTGGATAGCATTGTCGCTCGAGCGAGGGATGAGCGACAAGTTGTTGCTCGAGCGAAGGCAAAGCGATAGTCTAGCGAAATTGCGGCGCCGTTTTACCTTCTTTTTCATTCACGAACCCTAAACCTAAAATACCTCAATTTCCACTATTTGCACATAACTCTTTGACTTTTACAACATGTTAATTTTAGTCCCTTTCACAGATTTGCCAATAACATCAAATACCTAACACAAACTTTTGCAACGGCCAACGCTGTCTACAAGTGATTGCAAAGTTCATACAACATACCGAGTCAATGATAGATTGACAATAGATAGGGCTCATGTAGTATAAGACATCATGAACTGTAGCACTTAACATAGTACGCAGCCCTTGAACGCCATCAAAAGTGATTTTTTTCCACTACAGCTTCACAACTAAGTTTTGAGTCTCTCCTCTACTGGAGAAACCGAATAAGTATTAAAATGAAAAATAGAGGGAAATGTAGCTTTGGTTGAGAATCAGAAATGGAAGTGCAAAATATTTTCTCATATTCACGTAGAAAAATAGTCAACTTTCTTAGAAATGATTTTAGTTAAACTAAAGGGGTTTCTTAGTTAGCTTTCCTTCCTTCAATTGAAAATATTTTGAGGTTTTGAGTCAAAATAGGTGTGATCAAACCATTTCCATATTCCAAATCCAATTATGTAAGGTTCGAGGAAATTATCAATTCGTATTATTGAACGAAGAAACATAATGATCAAATCGAATCAAACCCCGATTTTTATATAAAAGCTTATTCCCTTAACAGGACATGGAAATTTCCGTGGAGAGCAAATTTTGAGTTGTTTAATAATTGAAAACTAGAGAAGAGTCTAGAAGTGAAATAGAAAACGCAAGAGAAAGGAATTTAGGAAAATATTCAGTTAAAATTCCAAAATTTGAAAAGAGGATAGGTATGACGTTCCCCCCTTAATGTAATTAATATTTATTAAAAAATTTAATTTTCTTCTTCTTTCCTTCTTATCTTTTTATTCTTTTATATTTTT